ATCTAAGTAAGAGTTTTTTTATTCTTCCCAATTTGTAAAAATTCCTTAAGTGATAGAAAAAAATATATATTATTTTCAGGATCTGCTTGGCTGAATTATGGAAAATCTGTTATTAAAACCAAAACAACTTTTATGTATTTTAAATTCACAGGCTAATCTGTCCATCTCTCTCTGGAGATTCTGTTCTTACCTAAATATGTCCTGTCAGAACTTTTGCAAGCTATTTAAATAAATGCATTTTATTTATATATAATTCCACCATCTGCACTAGTATCTTCATCAGTGGGTGATGCCCTCTGAAAGTGAGCGGAAGATGCCATCTAATGGTTAATGATGCCTCAGTATATTCCTTTTGTTGCATTACAGATACCTGTGGCTGGAAGTCTCTTCTCAGTAAATGTCTTGTAGCTCCAACCAGGGTGGGAACATCTAAGTATAATTTTTCGTTTGGTGTTCCCTTTGTGCTGTCCTTGAGTTGGTGAGCTTCATCCTCAAATGGCTTAGGTTCTTACTGGATGCTAACTGATTTGGCCAGTTATGTGAATCACTGGTCTTGTCAGATGTAGATGGGGAGGACAAAATTCCCAGGAGTGTATCCACTCATAGTAATTTATTTAGATGTCCTTTACTTGCTACTAATAACCTAAAATATCTTAGGTGTTTGGATAACATACTGTCACATTAATTATCTGTCATTGTTCAGTGGCCTAATTGGTTATTTATTTATTTTCAAAGTTCTTCCAAGTAGTATTGATTAACTGTAAATTATGTTGCAGTAGAAGTAGCAAATCAAATAATAGATTCAGTCTGTACATTATCTCTTTTCATCAATATTCATGTCTTGGTGAGGAAAATAAATTTGCAATTAAATCCACTCAGTTTTTCGACTGGAATGTTCTCGTGGGAATCATCCCCTACAGATGCAGGACATAATATTCTTCTTACCTGTTTTTATTCTACCACCTGTATTTCCATCATTAGTTTCACAGGTGAACACATTACCATCCAACCAACACCTTTTTTTTTTATGATTCAAAGAGTGGAATGCTACCTTGCTGAGAAGAATACCTTCATTCAGAGTGTCTTTAAGTTCAATCTTTATATAATGCTGGTTTACTCCACTTATTCTCTCTTAAATCCAGTTTTATGAATTTTTATGGGCCTGGATTTTATTTCCATTCTGATTGACCACAACTTTCAGTTAGGGGGGGGGGGGGTGATTAGTGGTTACCATTGCAACTGCAACTAAGAAATTTGAATTATGGCAGGAAAGCAAAGCTTATGAAGTTCTCCTGAAACAAGTGCATTAACTCAGGAGTGGAGAATTATGGGTAAGTTGATGCATACTTTGCCTTGTGTCAAGAACTTTGTCACTCATCAAGAAAAGGCTATCAGTGTTTCCTGTTTGAAACTCATTTTAATCATAAAAATGTAAAATTTAATTTTAAAGTGTAATATGGAGCTTAACACATTCTGTTTTTGTTCCTAATTATTTTCAATAATGATTAATTAATCATAAAATATAGTATAATTGTGGTTTTTATGAGCTTATTAAGGGATTCCAGTATTATTTTGTACTGAAAATTATCTATCTAAACTTATAATTGGCAAACCACAGGACATTGCAGGTACTTTTCAGAACCCCTCCCCCTGGAGTAATTATTAAAAAATAAACTTTTTACACTATTTATTTCAGAAATCATTCTGAATAGTTTATGATTACAATAAAATCTTTCAGTTTGTGTAGTTTTTATGAATAATTACAGTATATTTATTTTTCAATGAGTTATCTGAAATTTTAATATACAACAGATTTTAGGAAAATTAAGTAGATGACACACACTGTCATTTGCTATTTCTCAGGATGATGAGGAAAGAAGTTGGAATCACATCTGTTGGGAATTAGCCCTGTCTTTGTTTTCTTCTGAACTATGAGAGCATTGGCAGTTTTGATACATTCTGTTTTTCTAGATTCGTATCACTACTTGCCTTGTATATATTCACTACTCTCAAATAGGTTTTACCTCATGGTTACATCTGAGACACAGCATCTAAAATGGGAGCTCAGGGGTTAGTGTATCATCTTGAGGAACCTCCTCAGTCAGCTTATTCTCTTTATATGTTCATTGTTGTCAACGTATATTGTTAGCTAGGTTGAAACTACATCACTACTGGAGGTCAGGCCTTAGTTCCCTTTTCTCAGTTGCACCCATTTCTGGATGCCACACCGAGAATGTGTGGGGTTGTTCTAGACAATTGCAGCTTGAGCTTTTAGTTTTGTTTCTAGTTCTGTCTTATATCTCTTTCACAGGGCTGTAGGCCATGTGCCATACCTTATGCCCATACTTTCTGTGGGGACAGTACTACTGTTGTCACCTATATAAACAGATATGGAGTTTTGGATGTTAGAGCAAGGCGATAGATGCTATATCACTAAACTGGTCTAAATTTTATATACTTGTTTTTTTCATCTTTCATCCTGTAAATCTTCTATAACAAGTTTTTCTCAAACTCCAAAACTCACGATGTCACGTTTTATTGGTGGTTTTCCTGTTGCATTTCCAACCAATAACTTCTTTTCAGTATCAGTTTTCAAGCTTTGTATAGCACAGCTACTATCTGTTTTGGTATAGAACTCTCTATGGAAAATTACACACCTAAACTATCCACTGTAAGATCTTGTCCATTGATCCTCATTTACGTATTTGGTAGTTGAAAATTTTTTCCCTCCTGAATGGACCTTTTAAGTGACAGGTTCATCAAAATGTATTTTGGAATTAATGTCATATAAATTACTTTGTACTTTTGTTTTCTGTGGTGGCTTAGGTAGCTGATTTGTTTTTTAAACATATTTACCTGTTTAGTGCAGGAAACAAAATATTCTTCATTAAAATGTTGATTAAGATGTAAAATTAAAGATGGCTTTTACATTTAAATATTTCTGTTATACAACTCAGCCATGAATTCTTACTCTGATAACCAAAACATATTACAAAGACTATATATATATATATATATATCTGTATTGATATGAGATTTTGCATTGAAATACAAGTTTAATAAAGTACACCCTAACATGAGTAGAGTTAATTTGTGCTTGATGATTTCATATTCATGCATGATTTTTTAGATTATTGATATAAAATATTTTCCAAAATATTTTATTGACAGAAGCAGCAGTGCTGTCATGCAAACCTGTAATCTTGTTTTTTATTGTTGAAACTTGGTGAATTTTGCTGATTTGATTCACAATTATTGAGGTATATTATCTTTCTTGTCTTCCAGATGGTTCCTTCAACGGGTAAACGTTATCTGGTGGCTGTTGATGTAAGAAACTCTATGGTCCATGGGAAAAAAACTTTAGGGTGTCGATACGTGTCACCTGCTGATGCTGCATGTCTTATTTTGATGGCATTGTCTCGAGCTGAAAGTGGGAAAGTAACAGCCCTTGCTTTCTCTAAAGATGGACTCAAAGACATAGAGATTAATAACAAGATGACTCACAATGATTTTTTCAGAAGATTAAGAGAAGTAATAATTTGTGCATTTTGCATATTTAAAATTGCAATTAACCATAACTATATTTTGTTGCAGAATTGTGTTATCTTTATCACTTTTGTGTTGTTTGGTTAATACACAGCATGAACAGTTTAGGTTTTGTTTTCACAAGCATTATATGATTTTGCAGATGCAAATTACAGTTTTTATGAAATGGAAAAAAGAAATTACTAAATGAAAAACAAAAAAATTGTTTAAAAATTGTCTATTTGAAACTCACAAAAACAAAATTGTGGCAATCACTAGAAAAATTTAAACTCATTATTACAATCTCATAAATTTACAAACTGGTGAAAGTAAATATCCGGGTCTCATTACTCTAAATCTGAGCTGTATTACATTTTCAATTTATTTATCTTTTTTACTTTACAATATTAAATATACTAATACCAATCTTGAAGCCTAGTACGTACAGTCACCTAGATGACTTTTTAACTTTCACCCATCTATTTAAGATAACATTTGGGCCAATAATGGTAGTGATGCCTTGTTTGCAAACTGTAATTAACAAGTAGTCCAAAACACTAATAGGTCAGGAAGGACTAAGTAATATAGAAGGCAACATAGTTAATAACTGCAAAATATTTTTCTGAATAATATTGTATTTGATTTGATAAATGAATCATGATCAAGTAAAATTTAGAACTTGTTTCCTGATTCTTATGAAATTTCAAATCCATGTACTAGCACTAAAAAGCCAGTCATTATAATCAGAGTTGCAGGCTATGTAACAAAAACTTCAAAGTGATAAATTACAAGGGAGTACGAAGTTTGTTTTTTACTGAATGCTTTTGCATTCAGTAAAACACTCATTATTATTTAGTAAAAGTTAATGCTTGCTTTTTTATTTTAGCTGGATTTTCAAAATCCTTAATTGCAAGTAATAAAAGAGTTATATGATAAATTTTTAACTACAGATTACATAAAATACAGTGCAATAATAAATAACAATTCAACATGAAATTTCATTTTACTGAATAATCTTGCATTCAGTAAAGAAATTTGTTACACCAACTGTTAAAGCAAATGTTTAAAAGTATGGTAAATAACAATGCAATGTGACGTTTATTATTATCAAAGAATAATTTTGCATTTGGTTAAACATATGTCACACCATTTAATAAAATTAAAAAAATTTTCCTTGTATTTCTTTTCAAATCTGAATCCTCAAATTTTAGTGAATGACCTTTTTTGGCAACCTAATTTTATTAAATGACGAATTTGGGTGTGTGTGTGTGCCATGATACAAATGTGTATTATCAATGTTTTGTTGGGTAAAATTAAAAAAATAATTGTATTTCTTATATATAATGAAGTTCTGTTGATATTTTTCAATGTCTTATTTTCATTTTCCAAGTCTTTGTATAACATTTCATTACTCCAGGGGCCCTTGTTGTTTTCCACATGTTTTGTTATTTTTGATACTTTCTTAGTAAAAGGTAGTAGTAAAGAAAATATATGACACACAGAAATATACTAATCTATGTTTCTAAAGTAAAAAAATGAAAATGTTAAATTTTTACACCAGATTTTAGCTACTTTTGTACTACTGAAAACTGTGGAAATGTTAAAAATATTAGCATCTACAAATTCACATTATAAAATATATATTACTGTTTACACATAACCATGCTTGAATTTATAGTAAAATGAAGAAAGGAAAATATTAGTCATTATTTCAAAAATTGGTTTTGCCCAAAATTAACTGTAGGCTTGATTCTTGTTTTTTAATTCTACAGTTACCATTTATTAATTTAATGGCACATCAGTATATGTCTTTTTTATGTGTGTAAACTTATTTCAAGATTTACAAATTTCTCATAATGCCATTTTGTAAGTGATTCTGGTTAGTTGTCATGAAATTAAGGGAAGTTAGATGTAAATTATTGTGCCAGTGATTTTTTAACAAATTATTTTCTTTGGTTGAAATATATTTTATTTGTGCAAGATGTCATTTATTGAAAGTTTGCTAGAAACAAAATGAATCTTAATCTTCATACCTTCACTTTAAAAAACAAACAAACCTAAAATGAATAGTTCCATGTTAATTTGCAAGTTTTCATAGTTTGGTTAGTGATGCTATGTTCTTATAATCAGTTTCAAAGGTATTATTTTTATTACCTATTATTTGTTAGACTCCAATGGGTCCTGTCAATGTAGCAGCTCCTCTACAGTGGGCACAAGAGAAGAAAAAAACATTTGATGTGATTTTGGTTTGTACTGCAAATCAGATCCAATCAGGAGATGTTCATCCTGCTGATGCGTTCAAAGAGTACAGATTGAACTTAAAATTGCCACAGGCAAGGTGAGTGCTATTTTGGGATTGAAGGAATATCACTGTGAAGCTGACATTTGTAAAATATAATACTACACGTGAGTAGCTAAACAGTTTAAGAATTTTATTTGGTGCAAACTATTACATAGCGATCTATTATTGTTAAAGCTGGCTGTCTTTTTTAAAGTTTTTTTTTACCCTTGTATGCAGTACTTCCATTATCAATGTGCAGTGTTTTTTTTTTTGCTTTCAAGTAGGCAATAATAGAAAAGTGAGAACTGACAGATTTTTTATTTTTATTTTATTATTTTTTTTTTATTTTAAAAATGTCAAAAATTTAACTAATCTATCTATCTATCTATATATATACATATATATATATATATATATATTGTAATGTGATAAAATTTCTGAAGGAAGTTTTGAGCAATCTTGATGATGAAAAAAAATTAATGAAATGTAAATAAAACTTGTAAAAAAGTAATAACTTGAACTTTGGGCAAAGAGATTTATTTTTATTACTTAACATATAAATATTCACATTATCTACATCATTAAAAAATCACATTTCCTCCTATCATTATGTTCTCCATAATATCAGTTGTATCTAAATAAAAATTATTAATGGCAAAGTTGTACATATATTTTAGATTTCAGTCATTGCAAGTTTTAAATATGCAAATTTTTCATCCTTTAATTCGAACTTAAGAAAATTAAAAAATGTGATGAATTTTACAATTTTAACAATTTGGAAATATACAAGATTCTTTTCACTGTATTTTGGAATTTACTATGAGCTGTATTTAGACAAATTTCTTCCCCTTGATTATCAAACACATTCAGTTTGAATTGGTAGACTTATAACTTACTTTTTCTCTTTTTTTTTGTAATAACAGAAAAGCTTCGTAATTATCAAAATATTTAAAAATAATTAGTAAGGATTGTAATTTTACCCAAATGTTTGAGTCTTTCTCGTTATTGTGGTGTAATTCCTTTTATTGATATCTAATAAATACAAAAGAGAGAGAGAGGCTACATTACATTTTGAGATTAATTTACTACAGTTAAAAGTATGAAATTTTGAATGGTTTATTTAACATTAAATTCAGTATCATTTCATAAGATTTTACTTATAATATTTTTTGTAGGTTTATTGTTTGTGCATTTTCAAGCGGGGAGTTTTCTCTTGCCCCTCCTGATGAACCGGGTATGCTAGACATTGCTGGTTTCAGTGAGAAAGTACTTCAAGTAATTCAAGATTTTGCCCGTGGTGTCTTCTAAAATCATGCTTTAAGGCTAAAAGCTGATTACAGTGTGAATTTTCAAGAATACAACTGCTACATGTACAAGAAAAGGAAGAATATTCTAAATAAGTTCAACTGTCAGAATCACCCAGTTTAGCTATTATAAAGCAGTTCCTTTTTTTTCCCTTTTAGTAAGTATTACCAGCTATGTTACAAACATAATTTTCATTGTTTTGCAAATACTTTTTTTTATAGTTAATCTTCCAACATGGTTTCATGTGTTTAAAATGTGAAGACTGCATGTTTCATTTAGTATCTTTGTTTTTTCCAGCTTGAAATTGACTTTTATACATGTTGATAGCATTATTACTAATATCACTGAGGTGAATCTTTGGGTTTGTTGTTACTTAGTTTGTCACTGTACAAAAAAAGTCCTGGCAGTTGTGATATTTATGGTGTGAAAATAAAACAAATTTACCTCAATGCTTGAGTATTAGGAGATGCTGCAAAGTTTGCAACTGTTAGACTAGTAATATCCCAGATGAAGAAGTTAACCAAACTGGAAAAAAGTGTTTGTGACTGTTATATCAATGATGCCTTTTGAGAAAGTTTTTTTTGTTTTTTGTGTATGTTTGTGTACTTGTAAATTTGTAATATTTTGTTTGCAGTTTTCTCTTACTTCGTATCATGATAACCTCATGTATTACAGAATGAAATTTAGCAGTACCTACTGTAGTGTTTTTACGCATACACACACATTGTAGAGGTGGATCTAATGATGTTTATGTAAAGCTGTTATACATCTGGGTGTTATGCTTTTCTATACAAAATATGTACTTTTAAATTTTTTGTGGTGAGTTCTTGCATACTTTTTATTCACAAAAACAAAATCACTGTCATGACAAAATCACATTCATCAGGGGCCATTTTCAGTGCAAGATTTTGACTAGAAACTGTCAAGTTTGCTCTTTTTTTTATCATTTAATTTTATGAATCAAATTTACCATGATAACTCAATGTACATTTTCAGAAACTAAATATAGTTAGATGTGTCTTAAAACTTCTCTTTCATCATGTGTTATTAAGATTGATATAACTCAATATTTTTCATTATTGTTATATGAATTTATTTGTCTATCAAAAACAATACCTCTCATTGCATTTAATAGAAACAATTAATTGAAAATTATAGTTGACAAAAATGGCTCAATGCATCAGTTTGTTTTTAGATTGTTCGTCACAATAATTGAGCTATTTAATGTTGATTCAGCAACTAGATTGCATTATCAAGAGAGCTGTTAGCCATATTGAAGCAGTAAATAAAAGTATTGTTAGTATTTTTTCCCCAATAAGAGAAGGAAAAGTTAAAATGTTTCAAAAAAAAGTAATAAAAGTGTTACAGTAATTCTGTAAATCTTTTCTTAAAAACATTTTTGTTTAAAGGTGTTTAAGTAGTATCACTATGAAATGGATATTAAGTTGATGACATTTTTTGCTCTCTACAACAATTTTGCATTGATTTTCCTGACCATTGCCTATTTTGTAGCACATATATATAAAAATGGAGATGGAGAATCATGTAAAACTGTTTGATTAGTAGCACTAAAGTGGTGGAATTATTGTTTAGAGGTAGATGAATATTATGCCCTAGTATACGTTTAATAATAAGTTGAAAATGTGCCTGTGAACCATTTCGTATTGTTGAAGGGTCTACTGTGTATTTACAACAAATTATGTTAACTTTACACAATAAGAAATAATTTTATAGTATCCTGTATTGTGATTTATTGTTTATATGCAGCAGTTACTGGGTGAGTAGGTTACTATCGCTGCTATTAGAATAGTATACATATAGATTTTATTGTTGGACTCTTCTCTAATTGCTATTTTCTGAACCACAAACTTGTACATTTCCCCAAGGAAACTGCATGGGGAAACTAATGATTACTGGGTGAGTAGGTTACTATCGCTGCTATTAGAATAGTATACATATAGATTTTATTGTTGGACTCTTCTCTAATTGCTATTTTCTGAACCACAAACTTGTACATTTCCCCAAGGATCTTCATAAAGTACAAATATGAAAGAGCAGTTGGTCTAAAGTTTGTCTTGTTTAATAGCAGTTTTGTGGTACTATTAAAAGAAAAATGCATCTTTGTTTTAAAGTATTTGACAAAAATATCTAAAATTAAAATCAAAACTTGCTGGTCTCTTTTTACTATTATTATTAAAAGGTATTTATAAACATTTAGAATTTATAAGGTTTGCAGAACGTTGGATGAAGTCACTGAAAATATAATCTAAAAGTGAAACATTTTGAAAAGGTCCCCAATACTATTTTAAAACTCTTTCAAAAAATATTAATTAAATCCAGAAAGTAACAACCTTTATCAGACTGTCTACATGTGGAAAGATGACACCTGAACACACAGTAATGTATCAAAAACTTTTAATATAGAAGAAAGTTAAATATAATATTGTAAACAAATAACTAAGTGAATTGATTATAGGTTTGTCTTCTACTGCCAACAGGTAATTTAACAAGTTTTTTAATCTATATGTATATATGAGTGTAGAATATCAAGGAAAGTGTGAAACTTTATAGATAAATCTAGGTTAAAGAAATTTAAGTAATTTTACCTGCAGTTTCCTTTTTGAAAAAAAAAAAATTGCACTAACTTCAGGAAATATCTTAGTTTCACATCACTTTTTTTATTATGTTAATGAGAATCATTATAAGATTAAAAACCTTTAACACTCTGAGTACAGTAATGTCACACCTTAATGTACATTTGGTTAGAAATGATTTATTGATTATAATAAATTGGCTATATTGCTACAATAAATCATTTCCAACCAAATGTACATTCAGGTGTGACATTACTGTACTGTACTAATTACATTTACCACAAGTATTAAGATGAAAGTTTCAACTAATAGTTGATGGTGAGGTACTGGTTATAATAAATTGGCTATATTGTTGGAGTACCTCACCATCAACTGTTAGTTGAAACTTTCATCCTAATACTTATGGTAATTAATATAAAAATGTAATTAGTATGTTAATATTTATATACCACAAGAAACACAGACAACAACATCTGTTGTTATAAAGTATTTCTCATGAGTATTTTTGTAAATTTCAGGTAAGAGTACACATCATTCCAAAACATGAAAGAATCAAAAAATATAGTTCCCATTTAAAACTGAGAAAGTAAGAAATTTTAAAGGGAAGAAATTACAGAATTTAGTATATCATCTAATAGGGATAGCAACAAAATTCAAAGTTTCAAAGTGTTCTATGCATTTGGATAGTATGGATTAACAATGGTGGTTGAGATAAAGGCTATTTTAAATTGTAAAGTTTAAATGAAAAGGGAACAACATTTTTCTTCATTCAACAGGCATTTACAGTCCAATAAATTTTCCAACTTACTGGTATAATTACATTGAAAATAATCATGTCCATGAATTTTATCTTAAACTTTCATTATGTTAAAAGACGATAGGAATCCCAAACATTGGAAAATGTATAAACTTGTGGTTTTCCATGTTGATTTCATGGTTATGTTCAATGTTTGATTATTTGACACAGTTCTATAACCCAGTTCTTCTATTATGTAATTGTAGTAGTCTTTTGCTGCTAATTAGGGAATGGTGAAATAGTGTTGAAAGAAAATTAATAATACATAAATTTCACACACTGTAATAATATCTTTTAATTTGAATTAATTATGTAAATTTTGACAAGGCAGATTTTATTAGCAGCATATAGTTACAGTGTAAGCAGTAAATAAACTTGATCTAGAAATATATTTTAGTCATTTCCAGTGTGCCTCGTCCATGTAATCAGCATACTGATGATAAGTGTGCAGGAAGATCAAGTTTATTTACTAAATACATTCTGTAGTTAGCTCTTGAAGTTACTGTCTTACATAGAAATACTTCAATTTTTCAGTTGTTTTTTTTATATTGCATACGTGCATAAGTTCATTGAAATTGGTATTTTCAAATTATAAACGCTTTGCTCTTGGAAACAGAATTCACCAGGCTTCATTCTTTATCCTGTCATACAACAATTTTATATACAGCAATAATCAAGTGTGAATGAAGAAAAAACTTAAGTATTGAAATATATAAATAAATTTATTATGCTGTGTCTTAATATCAAATATTGAACTTTTGTCGTCCAGTTACACTTTGTGATGTAAATTGTGGAAGTTCCACATATACTTGAAAAGTGTTTGATTTATGCGTATAATTTGTTGTAGTTGTTTTCTATATTAAAGCTTGTGAATGTTACACCTTGTGTCTTGGTAGTGTTTCATTATCACTCTCTTGGCTATTTTATTGCTTAGAATGAACTTTTTTGGCCACTGAAAGTAATGAATTTCCTTCCCTCATGCAAAAATACATATTTGATCAAACACCGACGTGAAAAACTGTGACTGCAACAACCAGTAAAGATGTCTCATTAGAAAAGAACTGTGTATCAAGGTTCACAGAGTGTTTTCCTAAACACGCATAAAGAAATTATATATATATATATTGGATGCTTCTGACTTACTGCACAATGATTATCTTATTATGGCTAAATATTGGAATGTTTCATGATCAAGTTAAAGAATTTGTCAGATATGTATAGATATATTTACACATGTACAGTACATAAGGCAAGGTCATATTATAGAACTTAACATGTGCACACCACCTTCAAAGGTTACTTGGGCTTCAGAGTACTTACTAAAACTAGATATATAGGTTTGGATGATTGAAGCTGCTATTTTACGCAGTTGTTTTACCCCAAAGCATATATAATGAGAAATTTTGCTTATATACTAAAAAGCACACAAGGGTGGAGCTCTATGTTCCTATTAGAAAATCTACTGCAAACTTCAAGAAAATCATTTGATAAATGTAATATATTTTATAACAAACAAAGTTTTTGCTATGGTTTTTTGATAAATGATGTATGTTTATACTGGAAGATGATATTTTTTATGCCCAGCTCTTTAAATGATAATATTCTTTTAGCATTTGTTTTATTCCAGCTAATGCTGTGTATTGAGGCTACAGAATTTGTTAATTTTCAGATTTATGAATAAAACATTTGTAAATTCAGATGAATGTATGTTATTGTTGTTAATTAAAACTGAAATGCTTCATCATTATTAGAACATAAATTAGACTTGATGAAGTAACATTCAAATACCTAAAATAATTAACAGGAGGGTATAAGGTAGTTTCTGTAACTTTGGTTATTATATTAATTATGAACAGGTTATCTGAAACTGGGCTGCCTATACTGCTACTATCTTTCTGATCATAGTTTTTTTATTAGACTCTAAATTTAAGAGAGTTGTAAAATAATATACATTTGTCGAGCATCAGAAACTTTCAAATAACATAAAAATGTACAATCAGAGTCATACCAACAGAGATTATGAGAATAAAAGCACGTGCTAAAACTGGCTATCTAAAGTACTTGCTTTCAAAATTAGCTATATGTTTTATACAGGCTTACACTTTCCTAAAAATTAAAAGTTACAGCTCAATCCAAAAACTATTAAGATTTAACTAAAGGAACCAGAAGCCACATTGTAGGTCTAAGAGGATACTATTTCTTTTATCAAAGTGAATCACATTTTAAGTTTTCTTCCGTCATTCCCTTAACAAAAAAAGAAATAAAGATCATCAGTTAAAATACCAGGGTTTTAGTGTCATCAGTAAATGTTCTAACTTTCACTAGATTGAGTAGTAATTAAAAAAACAACACCTAATATGTCAGTAGGATCTACTTATCTAAAATTATGCACTATTTCTTTACCAGATAGGAAGGATACTTCACTGATTATGTTTTAGAAATTTTATGACTCGTCTGTTATTTGATAGATTAGGCTTATAATTTTTCTTACTATACTGCAGGAACTCTTTCCTAAATATTTGTATTAACAATTGAAGTAAAAAAATACTGTTGATAAAATATGGAAATTAAATGTTTTTTTAAAGGAGGATAAGAAAATATTAGTAGATATAATCCATCACTAGCTTGATTCATTTTTGCAACGTTTAGCATTTTAGTAGTAAGTTACAACCCTTACTTTAAAATAAAAACTTACTATTTTGAATACTCCTCATTATGTATCATTAACAATGTTTTTGATAACCTTCTTAAGAAAGCATTGTTCATTGGATATTACTTACAATGGTATATATATATATAAATATAAAAGTGTGTGGTTTTACTATTGTATTGGTTTTCTTTATTTGTTTAAAAGTCAATATTTCCCATAGTTATTTTCTTGAAGCACTTTTTCTGACGTTTTCACGGATTCTTTAACTTTTCAAGTTTGGGGCTTGTACACTACAACGTATACGATTTGAAGTTAAACTGCTCTCCTTGAAAAATATTTAAAGCATTAAGTCTTACTTTTTTGACTGATATTTATACAGTATTTTTAAATTATTTAAAAGTAGCTTTAGATGATTTACAAAACTAGTTGCTTATGTTCAAGAGAGATACACGATATGGTTGATGAAAGATCAAGAAACCAAGGATAGGCTGTAGGTACAGTGAAGAATGAATAATTATACAATGACTGCAACTATGGAGTGATCATGTTATGTTTCACAGCTAACATAAATACCTCAAAATCAACCAGTCTTTCCCAAACCTTTATATGCTCAAAGAAAAACCCATTCAGTGGAATAGGAACTAACCTAGTGAATGAATCATGTCAGCTTGACTCTTATTGAGTTTGGAACTTTACTCCTGGTTAAATCTCCCTGTCCAACCTTACCTATGTGAATGTCTTTTCCTTCCCCAAATTATCATTTTATTTTACTAGGCTATTATTTTACGAATTTATAGTTATTATCTTCCTGTGTGTATATATATATATCTGAATTCAATTTTAGTTCTTTTAATTACTTCTTCATATTCTTGCTAATTTTAATATTTACATAATCAGTTCAACGATATATTTATCAGTATCAAGAATTTTGTTGCAGTGCTCCACGTTAAACGTGTGTAATTAAAAACTTTGCATATCTTACTTTTTAACGATTATTTCTGAGCCTAATTTCATTGTAACACGGGCTTTACTGCCTGATGAAGGTCATCTACTCGAAATGTTGCACAAAATAAACTAGAACGTGTCAATTTATTCTTTATCATTTATCCAAGTTTTTCTTCCCATGTCTTGAGGAATAACACTCATTCCATAACTCATATACTGATAACTTGAAATATTAAACCTAATAATGACTCTGAATTATATTTATTGTAGTGTAGCTCTCTTCACTAATTCTGTGAATTCTTAATGGTTATTTAGACTTCCATATCAGAGTCCAGTGATACGAGCTAATTGTTAGTCCATGTGTTGAAATGCTGACATAGCAATGTCTAGTATGAGGAAGGATGAATTATTTATTACTTGAATTGGGGCCTGTGTGTATAGCAAAACATAATTCACACTTTGTCATTTAGTTTATCCATTTCTTTTCTGTTTGCATATCTCTATTTCATCACTACTCAAGTGGTTATAGGTCATATGCCAGTAACTACGGCATATCTCTATTTCATCACTACTCAAGTGGTTATAGGTCATATGCCAGTAACTATGGCCACATTTTTGCCACGTATGATACAAAAGTACTTTTTTATTTTTTTGGAGTATTTAATAATCTTTCAACAGTGCTAATTAAGTTTTTTTGAGACAAGTGTAATTTATGTGCCCAGATATGAAAATTTATATATTTGGTCATAATATGTTAAACATACTGTAATACTAAAACTTAAAATATTTTTTTTATTCTCATACTGTGTATAAACCTCTGAAATAGCTATCAAAATCGATGTTCAAAGAAAACTTTATTATCTAAAAGTGAATTCTTTTCAGTTAAACTTTCATTAAACATACATTTGTTCAAAATGTTTACACGAATTGTACTTGGTTTTTCTCTAAGCTTATTGTAATATTTCTCAGTTCATACAGTGTTGTCTAACACATAAAACTCAGTTGGACACAATGTGATGATCATGATGAGTATTTTACCATAGTTACTTGCTTAAGCCTTTTAAATAATCTGGTAAAAGTATTATTTTGAATGATATGAAAATGTAATTATGCAGTGTGTGAAAAAGTGTTTGTCATTCTATACAGTTCTAATATTTAAGCTGAAATCAAAAACTTGTTTGCAGTTTGGAAAATGTGTTCAAGTATTTGTGAAAGTAACATCTTTTATAGTTTTTAAATAACAACAATAGTGAAATATGTTGAACTAAAGCAGTTTATAGCATATATTAAATTATACTTTGTTTACATATTTTGAGAGAAACAACTTGAAATATGCAGGTTTGTACTTTTACTAGCTTTAGTAAATTGTAAAAAGCCTTCACTAGTTTTAAAACAACTGTTAAGCTAACCAGTACGTGTAATTAGGTGTATTTTTAAATACTTAAAAAGGAACATGTTTTGAATTATAGTGTTCTTACTTAGAATTTTGTTACACTGTAAAACAATGGCAATTTCTAAAGAAATATGTTTTTTAATTTATATAAAAATCACTGCTTGAAACTATTTAAAATGTTTCCTATTAGAATGTATACTTTATAAAAAAAACAACAAAAGTATATTGTGTAACAATGAATAACTTTTTTTTACCTTCTGAAAATAATAGTTTCTGCATGCGAATTTGTAAATCCCAAAATTGGAAGAAAATTCCTGTTAATGCTTTTGATCAGTAGGAAGTGTAAAAGCTAGCAATATACTGCTACTTATTTTGTAGAATTTTACCTCTTTGTACAAAGTTCAGTCATTCTAACAAAAAACTTTTTCAGCCATAGCAACATTTTATGATAACAAGAGACATATATATCTAAGTAGGTTTATTTTAAAACATTGCATACAAAAAAATAGCGTACACAAAATTACGTAAAAGTTAATTTGATTACTTGAAATCAAAAATATCTTTATGAATTTTAAATTCTTTTCCCCATAGTCATATTTATTACATAAACCTAAAAAATGAAAAAACTTGTGATAAGATACAAATATTGAACTAGTATACAATTCTTATCAAAATACTAAAATAATTCAACATTATTAAGAATTACTGACTACTGAAATATCACTACACGTGTATACAACAAAGCATCTGATTACAAAACACATATTTGAAGTTTCAAAATTTAAATATAAAAATCTGAAAACAGTTTTCATATGTATGCAAAAGCTGTGAAAAAATAAACTTCTGGTAATGATAAGTTAATATAAGCAAAACCTGTATATTCTGTATACTGATGTACAAGAAACAAATGCATCTAACTAAACTATTAAAATCGGATTAAACTCTGTGCATATTATGGAACATGCTTCTTAAATCAAGGAAACAAACATTAATGTTTAGGAATGAAAATATTTTTTATAACATTAAATAGTTATAAAACATAACATTAAATGACATTAGATTTACATTATATTTTGCACATGCATACTAAGGAAAATGTCCCCAAAACAGATAAAATACTAATTTATGATGTATAATATAAAACCTTACAACAGTATTGTATAAAAACACCATGGCAACAAGATATTCTTTTTTTTTAAGTTCCTAATAATATTTCATGTTTAAGTCATAATAATAAAAACAATTAACTAAAAACGTTTAAATATATCATTTGTTGTACAACAAGAATATTTCATGAACAATCAAATTGGACTATAACAAACTGTGAATATTTAAGCACTATATTTTTTAGAAATTAGGCTATCATACAAAACACACAAAAAAAACACCTAAAAATATCTTGACAGCATCTCTATTTTTTTCCCTAACAATTTATATACCTGTATATAAGGATAAAATGGAGCAATACTTATTTTCAGAGAAAAACTTGAACTTTTTATGTTGTGAGTTACATTACAATAAAAAAATAAACTTCATGTTTTGTAAAGTTTGCTCTCTATTTAGTTGGTTTATTCAAACTGACCTATAGAAATTTCTGTGTAAAGTGTATTAGACATTTAAAAAATTCCATTTATGTTCAAAACAAAAAACTTTGAAGGTAGTGTGTTAACTTTTTATATTAGCACAGAAAAACACATGGCTTGGAATGAGCTGAATGATATTGTCACAGGATAGGCCACAAGCCCACAATACCTCATTTCACACCACTAACAATTAGTTTTCCATATATCATCACTCTCCATTTTTGAATAACTTTCCTGCAAATAGGATTCTGAGGTACCCAGTATAAAACAAAAATTACTGGCAGAAAAAAATATACTAAATAATACTTTAACATAGGCAGACTTCATAATAAAATTAATGCAGACAAGTACAGTATAATAATAATATTATTCAATACTAAAAATTAAAAGAAAAACAACAACAACAATAATTTGTTATATTTATAAAGAATTAAAATCACAAACAATTTCATGTCACACAATGCATAAGTTACAGATCTTTAATTACTGGGCAATCTAGCGGTTTTGAAGTTCTTCCAGCTTCTAATCCGTTTAATTGGGCCCTTTTTGTAGAGCAGGATTTGGACCTTTATGATTGTTGGGATCTGGTCCATTCAAAGGAACATAATCTTTCCTGAAAAAAAATTGTAGTAATTATAGTGAGAGAAAAAAGATGTTAGAATAAAGATGGCAATAAAACTTAAAACTTCATGATTAACTTTATCAAATAGCAACTACTTTACTTGTTTAAACACAATATAAATTTCTATAATTTACATGTATGTCTTATAAATGTCAACAGATGTATATACTCCCAAATATTACAATTACAACAGAAAATTTTATTTCAAAATTAAGAGCTACGAACATAGCATGCTGTTCCAGATATACACCTGAGAAAATAAAGGCATTTCAATCCTGCATATTAAGATATTAGAGCATGTTTCCCTTTCCATATTTCATATTTAATCCATAAACTATTTTTTTACAATGCTGGAAGTATCTCAAGACAGTTGTTGAAACTGTAAACAAAAACATATGAATTAAATAAAAAACATTATGGAAGAGTAATTAATATACATATTTTTCCCACATCATATAAGTTTATATTATTACCTAACCCAATTCCTGTTTTCATCATTTGAATGAATGCATGATCTTTATGTATTCAGATGCAATAATGTTCTAATTCCTGTGTACTTGATAGAATACTTAGATATTGAAAAGGACTGATTACATGGTTGAAACATCAATTCCACACAGAAAGTGATAGCTCTTCTGCAGTTCATGACAATTCAGTAAAAAAGCATTTAACCACTACAATTTTTTCTATAAAATTAAATTTAGCTTAGTTTTCTGTTGTTCATATACAGCTTATAAACTTGACTGTTACAACAATTATATATTTTTAAATGCATTGCTTAAGAAAATGTACAGAAGTTAATTAAACATTCATATGTTGTATGTGTATACACGTTCAATTTTATACCTGGTGGCAAGTCTTTTATATTACAATTTCCATAGCTCAGAATTAGCTTGAAATTTAGGGTTATGCACATGTGGTATCATTATGTGGATTAGGGAAGTTACCACATTTCTACATTTGTGAATCTTGTTTCTTCCACATCCTGTTAAAGTTTAGTTTCAATTGTAATACTTAAAAGAATCAAGAATTGTACTTTATGACAATTAAGAATACTTTTTCATCACTAATTAGTACAGAAAGGACTGGAAACAATACCAAACAAAAAGACAGTTACTTACAACAGGAGGTCATCACAAGGTCCTTTGTGAAGGCTAGGATCAGGACCTTTGGCACTAGTCTTGTACATTAAGATGTGTTGGTGATCTCTTTGAGTATTTGTACCTTCAGGAAATCTAAGTATATTTAAATGGAAGATAAAAAATACAAATTACTAGCACATATCAATACATACAAACTGATAGTAACTCTATGAAATAAAATATAATTATCACAGTACTGTTGTATGTACAGCTAAGATAATTTTTTAGTCAATGACACTGTGTATGTTCACAAAATAACAGTAAAAATATATTCACTACACTAATAATACAAAATTTATTTCAAATATTACTTTTTTTTGACAAATATGTATATATATGTGTACACATTCAATACCTCAATACAAGTATTTCAAGATTTTTGTATATAAAACTCTTGTCTCTCATTAAAAACAACAAATGTAGTACATGTATGCAATACCTTTAATAAACATTTTTTAAGACCCATGTATATATATATAATAAATACCTCTAAATACTAGTTGTCCGTAAGTCAAGATACATAAACAAGTTGGAAAAGTATTCATATTTCTGTTTAAATGCAATAAAATCAATAAAAGATCATTTGGGGTGCATATTTATTGATTAATATACATTTCTAAATGCTTCATTTTATGACAGCTTACTGTATTTTTTGTGTTAAATTTTTTCTTGTTAAAAAGGCACTCATTGCAACAAATACAGATGTGAATAATACATCTGATTTCTAAATTTCAAAATGGACTGCTTGGCTTCATGATTAAAATAACTGGAATGATGTATTCATAAAAAAGAACAATCATAAAGGAAGTGACATTAACTTAAAGCAAAATAATATATACATCTTTTTACCTAAATTTAAAGATGGATAAATCTTACAGGTTATATTTTTTTTTATCTAATCTGTTGGGATTTGCAAACGAAACACAATTATATAAAACAACAATATTCCTTAAAAAAATATCAAAGATTCACGATTTGTTTATTTTTAGTTATGTTAATCATTGTCAGCAATTAAAATTTTTAGTTTATTTAATATTGAATTAATTTAAGCTTTAATCATTTCTTGAAATGCCTCATTTTTCCGATTATCCACATTACCTGATATATTACACATTTAACATTTGAAATTCCAGTAACATGAACAGTTCATGATATACTGCTTAATTGTTTTCTTTTTAAATGCAGCAATTAAGCAGCACTGAACAACTTGTACATTGAAATATATACGAAAGATGAGGGTAGGGTAGGTTAGGTTAGTGAGACAGGAATTACAGTAACAATATTGTGATTAACTGTAATATTTATTAGTCTTCTTATCTGTAATTTACATGCAAGTTTATTCATCCAGGCAAGACAGACAAACAGGAGAGTAAAACTTATAAAAAAATATTTTCTTCTGGATAAAATGCCATCTGTTTTGTCCTCAATAATCATTGAAAAACATTCATTGTCTTACATCTTAGATGCTGCTCCTTTTATAGACATAGGTTGTACAGTATTTGCTTCCACAAGCATTAATTTAGGTAGGATAATATATATGCAAAATATTAAAAAAAAAAGAGAGAAGAATGTTCAGTTCTGAAGCATTTTATATGGAAAATGGAGATATTCTGTTATCTTTCATAGTTTTGTGGCATGAAATTTTTTTTCTTTTGTCTAGAACAATCATTCAGTTCACATACACAAACATTTTCAAAATATTGCAATGGTAATGAATGAATTAAAATGGCTGATAATTTTGAAAATGTAATATTTTAACCAACAGAAATTTGACTTATACCTACTTTATTTGGTATGATGGGGTTTCCTGTCTTTCACTCTCTCCTATGCAATGAACATTAAAAAATAAAATGATAAAAAAATAACCCTTAAAACTGATGATTCTTAAATTTATTCCTGAATAACATATGAAATTATTTTATAATTCTATTATATTGAAAACTATACCACAGGCCTGCAATGGTTTCACTGTCTTGATATTTTTACATGTTCTACAGTAATTCCTGTGTGCTGAATCCGAAAATGATATCCGTTTTCTCTATCACGTACAGATTTTTCACAAAACGTCATAATACAATACATAAAAGAAAGACCACAACATGTAGTTTTGAGACTAAAAGATGTAGATTTCACAAAAAAAAAATCAGGATGAATGAGGATGCATATTCATTTGACTTCAATGTTCTTCCCTTTACTTCAGTTTGTTTGTATTTTTGTTAACAAACATCATAATAAAAAATGTTCATCGTAGTAAACGAAATAATAATTTGATCTAAGTAAGAGTTTTTTTTCTTCCCGATTTGTAAAAAAATCCTTACGTAATAGAAAAAAAAAATATATATTATTTTCGAAATCTGCATAGTTGAATTATGAAAAATCCATCATTCAAACCAAAACAATTTTTATGAAGTTTAAATTTGCAGGTCTGTGTACTTTAACAAGTATTTGTATATAATATTTTAATAGCTATGTATTTTTATATGTTTAATTTATTCAAGTAGTTATAGATAATTTCTTTTAAAGTTGAAAATGTTATCAACCATTAATTCTAGACACTTCATATTTTATTATAAACATATCTGAACTACACTTAAAACTGGTTACATAATATTTTGTTTCTAGTAATTAATGATGATTGAATGAAAATAATTCATTTTCACATAAATTAATATTCTAACCTCTTTAGAAGGTTTTTGGACACAGAAAAGATTGCCATTAAAAGTACAGAAAACCAAAAGATATATTGATACAAACAGCTGGCAATGCCTAAAGATTGTAAAAATATACAGTTTGATGCTGAGCATCCACATAAGTCTATGTGTGTGATTATCATACAATACCCTTGAAATTCCACTGGTAAGGGTATAATCTGAAAGAAACTTTCAACTACAAATGTTAAAATACATTCACTGTTAGAACAGTTATAAGTTGGAGTTGAACAGAAAGTTCTTTGCTCATACACAAACTATAAATTTAGTTATATTTTATTGCAACAATATAGATTATCTGTTACACAATAAGTTACTTTCTTCAATAAACCAGAAAATATCTTTAAAGTAAAAATAATTTTAAATATAAAATTAAATTATCTTTATCTATTAGAAAACTAAAACCAAGCACAAAAAAGTTACCCAATTCCTTCTTATAACACTTAAAAATGGTCCCTATGTTATCTGAACAATTTAATATCAGATGCAAGTTTTTTCATGTATTAGAGTCTGTACAGTTGAACATGATAGTGGTAAGTTGGCTATCAAAAGATACATTTATCTCATTAAATTTTCTATTATGTACTAATTTTAGTTGATATTTTTTGTTTAATTATTAAAAGTGTTCTTCAATTCATGAAAGCAAATAGGTTTTAAAATCAGGAATGGTGGTACAAATATAAAATGCTATTCATTCACACTACCTGTAGCTACTAAAATTATGACTAGTGGCAAAAATACAAGTTTCTTTCTTTCGTAGCAATAAAGGTCAAGAACTGTGAAAGAAATATAAAGATTTCATTCCATTTTATTTAATAGTTTTGTATAAAATTCTTATTTTATCAGTCGAATTTCTTAATAACATAAAACACATTTTTTTAGGTATTTTGTACTCGTTTTGGATTTCAAAGATCCTTCAGTTTACAAGATTTCTAAAGTCATTAACCCTAGATTTTAGTTAGTGCTAATAAATATAAAGCTTGATTACAGAACCAATTGGTTCCAGCAGTTATAATACAAGTCAACAGTTACAAAACATAGTTTGTTGTCTGTAAGCCTAAACAAAAAAATAAAAAACAACCATGGTCAATAGATAGCTCTTGCATAGGTTTATTTACAAAATAGTGTCTATTCTTTCTAAATATCAACAAGGATAAACAATAGAAAAAAATAAAATGTGTTGATATGAACAAATGTGTGCATTTATGTAATAATTTTTTTTTTCTAATAACCATCAAAAAATATGGTAAACAAGTTTTGTACTTATTAAGGTTGGTAAAAAAACGTAGGTAACTACTACTAATATCAGCACAAAGTGATAAATAAACATTGGTTCACTGCATCCTAGTATGCACAAAACGGTCTCAGTATAAAAACTATATATCAAATTAGAACACTATGATGCAGGTAACTGTTTTTGTTTACCATTTATTAGGTGGGCAATAACAATAATTCTTTCAAAAATAATACATTTATTACTTAAGCAAAAAATTGAGTAATTTTCTTATAAATTATGTTCAGTTCTTTTGAGGTAGAAAAAATCTGATTAAATATCAATGCAGTGCAGCAATATCTTTATTTTTCCTAAATCCAAGGCTGATATAGCAAAAGCTCAAAGATTGTAAGTGAAAAAAATAAACATATTAAACTTTCAGAAAATATATACAAATCTTTATTCTTTTTAAGTCTTTGCACTAAGGAGTATTTAACTGTTCCAACTAATCACCAAAATTACAGAAAAAATCCTGAAATGAAGCTCACTTCTTTCAAGGTTCAGTCATCTTCCCATAACAGACATAGCATGTATGTCAGTGTCTTTGTATGTAACCAAAACTTTTCCGCCATCTACTGAATGGCACCACAAACAAAAATCCATAAAAATTTCACACTTTGGGGGTTTAAGATTCAGACAATTAGAAAAATAACTGTTGTATATGCAACAACCATTTCCTTATAATAGAACACAAATTTAAACAAAAGTACTCTACTCATAACAAGAACAAGACTTTCACTAGAACTGTACGCGAGGGTTTGATTATATCTTTATTGATGTAAATTCTAAATTTAGTACTGAGAAACTGGAATTCTTAAAAAAGCTATTGTTTTTTCAATAAATAGTACCACTTTTAATGCATAAAAACATTACAGTTTATATAAGTAAAATTTATGTACCTTGAATCATTTTGATGCACTGAATTGCATAAGACTAAAGAGCATAATCGAACATTTTTCTCATGCAGTATTTTCCAGAAAAAATTCATTTTTATAAAATGTTCACTTTTTTCTAAATTGTTTTCAATGTGGTATGAATATTATGATTAGATAAACAGCATTTCTGCTAGTGTTTCTGAAGCAAATTGAGTAACAGTGAGTTTTCTTAACATAGTGTTGTTTAAATGGAAAAAAAAAATTTTTTTTTCTTCAAAATAATGTGCATTTTTACAAGCAATGAGTATGTGGAAATGTGATCTAGTGTTGTTGTGTATAAATCACAGCAATGGAAATACAAGAAAACTCCTTAAACATCAAATTCAGGGATGGCTATTTTCTCCAAGCTTGGAGGGCGCTAAATTTCTGAGACATTTTTAGAGACATACACGCACGTTATACTTCAGCTTAGGACCCCCAGCTGAGTTTAGTGACCATGTGAGGTCAGCCCTCTTTGCCTCTCCAAGCAAAAAGTGAAATAATGCTTCTGACCAAATTGTAAGTTTTATACAAACATTTGTATAATTTTATCAATATGATTAGAGTAAAGAATGTCCAACGGAATTAAAACCTTGAATATAGAAGTACAGTAGCTTGACTGATTTATACAAAAAACAAAATATTAGCCCTTAAAATACAGGCATTGGGAGATTCAGTTTTATTCTGCCTTTGATGTTGCATTTTCCTACTGGCAATATAAATTATTTTGTATTTATATATATATATATTTTAAGGTTTGATAACAGTTTTACAAATGCAAAACAGTTTAGATTCCATTAATATATTTATACTTGACAGCAATTATGTGTTTAACACATGCTAAATTGTCTCAACCCCCAATAAAATTTAAATATGTTTCTATCATAGAGAATAGAATCACAATAAATATATAAACAGAAAAATCCAAAAAAATAAAAGCATAATTTGTAAAAGCCCTAATGGAAGCCTTTTTAAAATCAGTTTTGGTTTGGTTTGAATTTCACATAAAGCTACATGAGGGTTATCTGTCTCTAATTTACAAGTGAAAGATTAAAGGGAAGGCAGCTAGTCATCACCACCCACTGCCAACTGTTGGGCTACTCTTTTACCAATGAATAATGGGATTGACCATCATATTGTAATGCCCCCATGGCTGAAAAGTTGAGCATGTTTGGTGGAATGGGGATTTGTACCTGTGACCTGTAGATTGCGAGTTGAGTGCCCTAAGCACCTGGCCATGCAAAGCCTTTTAACTGTTAATATATTAAATCTCACAACTGCTAATGAATTGTGCTTCCAAGTTCGAAAAGCCCTAAAATCATTTACAATTAAACCTCAAAGCAACCTAACTAAAGAGAAGCATCAAGCAATGAGTAATTTAAAGAAATATAGAGACACTGTTATATTACATGCAATAAAGGAACTGCTACAGTTCTTTTAAACCAACGTGACCATGAGCAAATGACAGAAGAATTGTTAATGGATGCAATTTATCAAAGACTATCTTCAGATTCAACTCAACATACAGAAAAAAAGACTAAATAAAGAACTTTGGAACATGAAAAATAAAATGTAAATAAGCATGAAACTGTACAAAAGATTCTCTGTACACCATTCAGTCTCCCCACAGCTTTATGGTTTGTCAAAGAAACAAAAACTTAATGTACCCATGTGACCTATTGTATCTTACTTAGGTTCACCAACTTACAAAACAGCCATATTTATTTCTAGTGTGCTAAAGTCTCTTAACAATAGATCCAGCTTATTCAATTAGAAACTCACAAAAATTCAATAACCACATCTAAAGACAATATTATAATATGACTAGCCCCAACATAGTTTCACTTTTCACCAAGATACCATGAAAATAATACACAAGTGATTAAATGATGACATCTCACTCCCAACAAGAACATACATCAAATTCTAAACATCAAGATCTTGCTGAACATCTGTCTTAATGCAAAGTACTTCCATTGGAAAGGCCAATTTTACAGTACGTTAGACAGCACTACAATGAGTTTGCCTTTATCACCCGTAGTAGGAGAAATATTCGTACATGGGCAAGATATGTTGACGATATGTTTATTTTATGGAACCACGGAGAGAAAGAACTCAAAACCTTTCATGCTTATTTGAACAGCCAATTTGACAGCATAAAATTTCCCATTGAACTTGAAGTCAGTAAAACTCTTCCATACCTTGATGTTCTGGTTCTCAAAGACACAAGTTTAGTGTGGACCAGTGCCATTTATTGTAAGAAGACTCAAACAAATAAATATCTACATTTTCAATCTTGCCATAGAATAACTGTCAAATCAGGATTATTAAAACACTAAAGTCCAGAGCTACGTGTACATGCTCCTCTTTTTACCTAGATAAAGAAATTAAACATCTTGAGAAGGTTTTCAGGAATAACAGTTATCCAAATAAAACAATTCAATGTATGTTATATGGTTCACCTGTTCAGCTACTAATGAACCACAACCTAACAATCAAAACAAAAGGAAAAAAGCATTTCTTCCTTACATACCAGGCCAAGGTAAAAAAACTTTGTAGGATAATGAATAAACTTAAAATCACTGTAGGTTTCTTAAGTCCTCCTATACTACACAACAATCTTACGAAGGTAAAATCCCTACTTCCCAGTCCTCTCACAAAGAACGTGGTTTATAGCACTCAGTGTAAGTGTAATAAACAATGCACTGTGGAAACACAACACCCATTACATAAAGAACACAAATAGATATTAAGAACTGTGCTATATAAACATCAGCTATAGCTTTTCACATTCAGGAAAATGACCATATAATATACTTAAACAGTCCAAAAATAATAGACAGAGGAGGAAACACCAAATGGAGAAAAATCAGAGAAGCTATTGCCATCCAAGCAGAAGAAAGTGGACCACCAGTGGATATTAATAAAAACAATGGCCAACAATTACTCAATACTGCATGGACACCACTTGTCAAAGACATAAAACATATTTGTTGTGGTTTCAATGTAAAATTAAACCTTTAATTTTACAATGTATTATTTGAAGCAAATTCCTTTATTTTTCTTATGTTTATTATATTGAAGCAATCTATTAATCTTCTGTATTTATCATAATTCTATATGTTTAATAACTTTACTACCAGACGTCAGTTATTGTTATGATTGTTGCTCAGATACATATTTTAAAGCATTGTTCCACAGTTAAATGAATTTTCATTGCTCAGTACACCATTGTCCGATGAAGGCTCTGGTAAAAGAGCCAAAAGCTTGCAAATAGAAGTATTTTAATGTAGAGAAAAGTCTGTGTATAATTTTAAATATAAATTCATCTGCATTATGAGTCTTAAAAAATGACACAAATTATTGTTTAGAATTCTGTTGAAAATACTGCTATCAGTGGTCACACAAAATGACAATGTACTTTTGCACTTAAATATCTAAATGTTTTTAAAACATGAAGCAAAAACAATTTTATACTAATAAATATAATTTATAGATATACACATCTGTAAAAAAAAACACAAAAAACAGAGCTTTATGAACAGATCAGAAAACCAATTTTTACACTGGTGCTAACCTATTGGTTTTCTATTTATAAATTTTCTAGCAGGCCAAAATGGCGTAATTTCCATATTTAGGCCAAGTTAAACTACATGCAAGGCAAACTGAATTATGTGCCTTTTAGTGTGTGTATTTTGTGTATACATGAAAAAAAAAAAAAAAAAA